CGCGCCGGCTGATAAATACCAAATGCCGACGGATTTTTCAAGATGACCTTTTCGATAGTTGATTTGAATTTTAAATTTTAATTAGCTGTAATCGCATCAAAAGTGAGCGCCCTGCGAGGAGGGGAGCGCGGGGCTCCCGCCGGGGCTCCCACCCGTGTCGGAGCCGGCAGACGCCCCCGAAACCCGCTGGGAAGCYGCGGCTGCCGGAGCCCCCCGGTGCCGCTCTGGCCCCGCTGGAAGCGGCCGGGGATGTYGGTGTCGCGGGTTGTCCCGGAGCCTCCGGGCTGCAGCAGCGCCGGGAGGGGAGGCAGAGGCAGGGGGCTGTGGATTGAGGCTGGATATTGCGGTTTTTGAGGGATGAATGTGATGGTGCGGGAGAGTGGAGGGGTAGCGGAGCGCCGGGGACACTTCAGAGCTCCCCTGCGAACGCCCTGCGTGGTGCTTGTTGGAGTCTCCAGACTGCGCTTTAGCTTCCAACAAGTACAGCAGGGAAACTCCTTTCTCTTTCCCTCCTCTAGGTTGCCTTGCCTAGATTGTAATTTCTGCAAAATAGCAACTTTTTTTTATTAATCCATTTTTAACCACAGTTTTCTACAATGGTAGCATTAGCACCTTAAAACTTCAGGTTTAATTTGGATTTAATTTAATTTAATTTGGATCTCTTATAYGTTATATTTAGGGTTTTTGTCCAGGAGCCAGGTCTGCATCACCAACACCACTTTTCTCCCTTGAACCTCAACTGTTTAATTCTATTGGCAGTGAATGCCAGGATATTTGGGTGGTTTTGAGCATTAATGATTGCATTGGCACAAAGCTCTTCTCAGAATAACAGTATTTGCTAATGCTGTCAGCTATAAGGTTCAAACTGGAAAACTCCAGCCCAGAATGTGGAGGTGCCCAGCTCCAGCAAAAGAGTTAAAGATCCTGGGGTTAAATCTGTCACTGTTCAGTAAAGCTGAGAGCTTTATCTATTTGTCCACCATGGCAGACATGAMTGGGGAGCCCTGTCCTTTTAAAGACTGTGTCATCCTGCAGTCACAGCCTGCACAGGCTCTACAAAAAGTGGAGCAATTTCTWCCCCAAACTGAAAGTGCAATCTCCATGAAGTTATTCTGTCGATTTGCTAACTTCTATAGTTTTGTTGTCTTTGTACACTGGAAATGTTAGGCAGAATCTTGTACTCATGTGAATTAGGCTTCTTGGCAGAAATCCCTTATTTTGTGTAATTAATAATTCATTTTACCCTCTTCCCTTTAATAAATAAGTGAAGAAAAAATAAGATTACAAAAAGAACCAAGATTTTAATTCCTATTTAGGTGCTGTAAGCTAGGTATAATTGTCTACCATCTAACAGTGTCTTATTTTTAGGAAACCAATTACAATTTCACAGTAAGTCTGTGGTCATTAACGAGTTTGAAATGTCAGAAAATACAACAGCATTCCCATTTCCCAAAGTGTCCATTTGGCATGTTTCTGGCTTGCTTTTTCAGGACTCAGAAATACTATACTCACCTTCACACCAAGGCAATGCTAGGTACAATACAGGTGTTGTACTGTCGTATAAAATACTGGTAGTACAGCTCTCTAATGTAAACAAGCACCAAGTCATTACTGGAAGCAAGGCAACAGGAAGAACTGCCCCAGAAACTTTATTCCGGGAGCTCCTGCATTTGTGACAGCCCTTGTGAGAGCACGGCAGGGTGAGCAAACTATCTGCTTTCATCTCGCTGGCCCCTGAGCCCTCTCAGGCTGAGGGCTCCCCTCCTGCCCAACCCAGAGAAGGCTCTGTTTTCAGTCCTTCCTCGAGGGAGCAGAGCCAGGCAGAGCTGCTTGGCCAATACAGAACTTTGTGACTGTTTCCTGTGCTCGGAGGAGGTCACAACCACCGTGCCACCAAACATCAGGATGGCTGAATGCGACTGGGGACTGATGGAGACCATCGGGAGCAACCATGCTGGGCATCCTTGTGCGGCTGTCTGCGTTCCTGGGTCTGGCTAAAACCCTCCTGGGCTCCAACAAGCCTTTTGCTGCCTATGGAGCCTTCCAGAGTTGAGCAGAAAGCCCAGCTTTAGGGCAGAGAGAGTAAAAATCAGTGGTGCAGGCAGGGCTTCCACTTGCCAGGCAAGGCTAGCCCTGCTCCTGGTTGTTTTTGCTGCCTGGACATCAGCCAAAGCCCACAGAAATTAGTAGAAAAACCAACTGGATCAGGTCCATAAAGCCTGAGGACTCGCTTCCATTCTTACCCCTTTGATCCAACAAGAGTAGGTATTTACTGAGTGGGGCCTCTCTAGCCCTCTTTGTTGGCCAGATGCAGAAGCGGTAGCAACAGGTTTTTCATGTGATTTAATCATTTTCTCTCTCACCACATTGGGCAGAAGCCTCTTTGTGTTTGTTTCTACATGATTTCAGTGCTTTTGTGTTCTTTTATTTTTTTAATAGGACATCTTCTTTGTGGTAGTCCAGTTGCATTTCAGAGGGAGAGTCAGGGCCTGAGACTGTCTATACTTGCAGGATTGGAGCTATTTTARGTGCATTGGTCATAGAGAGGTTTATTTGCAGTTCTTCCAAACTTTTCCAAAGGCTGTTTTATCCCTTGCAGACAGCAGCGAGCACTAGAAGGACTGAACATTTCATTCCCTCCTGTGAAACAGGGAGAAATTTAACCCCAAAAGATGCAGAGCTGATGGTGGTAAGACAAGGAGCTGCCCCAATTAGCAATCTCCTCCAGCACTTACCCTACAGCCAAATCCAAGGTCAGCATTTGGGGGTTTGCTCAGTTTGCAGTCAAGTCATTAAAGTAGGCACGACTTTCCCAAAGATCTTTTCAAGCATGTCATCCAAGACTCCAGAAAGCATTAACTTGCACTGCTGCCATTCCAGACATTAATCAGAGCATATATTGCAGACAGTCTCCTCAGCAGTGTGCTTATGTGAGTCGTATTTGTTTTATGGCTGTCCTGCTGATTTCTCCCTGATAACGAGACCCTGCGTGTGCTGCAGTATTTGTGAGTGTCTATTGGAGCAGCCAGGGCYGCTGTCAAATCATCCAACCAAATGGAGAGGCTGGTGCCACTAAGCTGCAGATATAAATTACATATTGTTCTATTTGCCATAACGTGGCTGTCAATAAGGCTGCATCAATCTAGGAACGTGCATTAACATCAAAARGGACTCTGCAGAGGTGCCCCTGGCACAGGGCACATTCGGCTCTGCAGTGAGAGCTTGCAACATCCCTGTCTGAGCCAGCCAGGCATTTAATATCACACCTGTACCTTGGCTCCCCTGTCAGCTTGCACTCAGTTATTCATCTTCCATAGTTTCACTCAGCTTGCCTAACCCTTAACTTCTGGTTGTTTTTTTTTTTTTTACAATCTGTTGTGTTTTGTTTTTCTAGAAATGGTAAATGAAGGTACCTTTTCAGCCTTTATAAATCCATTGCTTTTCCATCGCTTCTTGCATTGCAATAGTAAAGGAAATTTGCATGGCATTGTCAAGGCACACTCTTCTTTCACAGGTCATTTTTCCTCTTTCAYCCTGGCAGCTGAATTTTAACATTGCTTGGGCTTTCTTTGCCACATTAATTTTAAAAATCCAATGCAACAAAGCATGTTACTTCCTTTTAAATATTTGTTTTATTTATTTCTCAGTGCCCAGGAAGGATCCTGAAAACCCACATTATAAAATAACAGGTGTATAGAAGTTCTTAGCAGGATATAKAGAGAATGGCCATTTATGAAAGGCCATAAATACCAGTGGACAGTAAGAGACAAAATTGGTGTCTGCTTTGGGACCAGTAATAAAATTTATCAGACCCAGAAAAAAGTCTTTAAATCAGAAGCTGCTGTATCCTCAGTAAGGGTCCAGTGTAGAGTTACTAATTTCTTATTAAAGGAGAGAATTTAATTGGCGTTGYTCTATTTGTAAGCAAATAATGCACCATGTTAACAATGCACTTTATTTTGGTAACTCCCAGAAGAGAGCTAAATACTRCAGAAGTGTTTTGCTAGATTAGGACTGGGAAATCTCAGGATGAAAATACTTGCTAAGCAAAAAATATAACCTAGAACAAAGGGCTCYGTACTAGAGATGTTCTGATACAACTTTAGCAGCAGTTCCTCAGAAAACATTYTATCCCAGGACAAACCAATTTTGCCTCCAACTACTGCCCTGAGCTTTGTAAGGCAGAGATCTGGCATATTTATCCCACTTTCTGCAAAAGGTCTCTTAAGTAGGATCCATTCCTCTCTTGGGACTTGTGGAGTTGGCCGAATGTGTTTTTAGAGCAAGTGTTGTGCTCCTCATTAGATAAATCAGCAATCTCAGGGCATAAAAGACTCTGGCTTTTCCCACATGTGTGGTATATAATAGCAGTCTCCTCTTGACTTTAGCTTTTCCATGGGGTTTCCAAATCAACCTAGCCTGAGTACAAGCAAACAAACATCCCAGATGCCAGTTAAAATAAGAATATCCTGAACATCTCCCTTTTCTCCGTTGCCCATGCTAAAACCTCCCTATATTACACAGGTCAGACTGTCAKTGCTACAGTATCTGTTGGGGGCTTTGGTGACCCACTCCTGCCCTCCTGTCCCCTTGAACGCCTCCCAAGAGCTGCAGCAATCACCTCTACTATTCCTTTATCCTTTTATCAGGCACTGAAT